CTATCACTGGCCATTTTCGTTGCATCTCTAAGAGCCTGTGTGATAAAAATATACCGGTACTTCCTCTGGTATACCTGGCACTGGACCATCCCTATCTGGGTATGGTTGGGTAAGGACTGCTCCTATACATTGCTCACTAGCATCCATATAGAGGACCATTGGCTTGCTGAGATCTGGATATGTCAGTAAGAGAATAGCAATCAACTGCTCCTTCAGGCAGTCAAATGCTTTCTGACAGTCCTCTGTCCACTTAAACCTGGCATACTTTTTAGTTAATGCTATCAGAGAAGTTGCCAATCTAGAAAATGCTGGAATGAATCATCTATAATGAACCTTTTATGAATCCTTTCACCTGTCTCATCATCTTCATCACAGACATTTCTTTTATTACCTTCACTTTGTCTAGGTTGGGCTTAATCCCCCTTCCATACATAATGAATCCCAGGTATTTAGTTTCCTCCCTCAGAAACTGGCACTTCGATAATTTTAGTTTCAACTCTTGCCCTATTAATCAACCCAATACCTGCTTCAAGTGATTGAAATGTTGTTCTGGTGTCTCTGAGAACACCAGAATGTCATCCAGATAGGACATAGCAAAATCTTCAATCCTGCTCAGCAGTGGTGTAGCTAGAGTAAATGTCCCCCAGAACGGTCAGCTCAAATGTCACCCCAATGACCCCGATTCACCTAACGCTGAATGGTTAGCTGTAGCTAAATTTTCATACATGCTCTACCTCTACTTTACTCTACTGACTGGTACGTTACTGTTTACATCTATGATCCAAGACAAAATCCAATACCACAAAATAATCAGTTCAAATCAAAAGATTTTTAAAATGCAACTGTTCACTTTCAGAACAACTAAATACAAAACACGGCAATACACAAAAGAATGACATTCAATAATATGGTCTTAGAATGAATGTTTTCTTGTTTTCATTGTGGCAAACTGGTCAATGACATCGTCAAAATCTGTTTGTCTTGTAAGCTCGTTTTCAATGGACAGCACAGCCAGATCCGACAGTCTCATGGTTGACGTAATTTTCTGTTGCTAATTTTCTGGTGTCCAATTTTCCATTGCATCATTTACTGGGAAGAAAAATGTACAAAATATCTGTAGTTGAAAGAATAAAATTAACAATTTTTTTTTTTTAGAATAGCAATGATTTTTTTCAAGAGTCAGGTCCTACTGTTTAACTCATATATGTTATGTGATGATGTTTGAAAGTATTTTTCTTGACAAAAATGTTCTATTTAATTTTTAAGCATTTTTCGGAACATTGTAAATCAACTGCATTCTTTTAATGGTTACCTAGAGAATTTATGCAAAGTTTATTTTTTTGTTTTTCTTTATATAAGTAAAATAAATTTACATTGTTATTATGATTTTAGTTTTAGTGATAATTTAAAAACAATAAATATTTATCATTAGTACCAATAGTGGAAAATTAAGTTAAAAATTTAAAAGAATCGTTTTTGGAATCGAAAAATAGGCACAAATTTTTCTGATTCCGATACCGTTTCCGATACCCCAAAAAGTTCTGATTTTTCCGATTCTTGATTCCGATTAATCGTCCCAACACTAGTAGATATATTCAAAAGTATATCGCTCACTCAATGGAAAATTGTATCTCGGTGAATTGATACACAGGCAAGACTGAAATTGTTGAACTTTTGGCTTCGTATTTCGCTTTGTTGTTATTAATGATGCAGAGTTAAAACACCATATCATCCGATAAAATGTTACAATGTCTCTTGTTAGTAACCAGAGACATTGTAACATTGTAGCAACTGAAACACATGAAAGCGGAAAACATTGCTATTTTTCCTACTCACAAATTTCCCGACAATTTATTAGAAAATTTCTGACGGGGGGACAAAACTGGAGGGCCATAAATTATTTCTGGGGGTCATATGCCCGCCTGCGAAACCCTGTGTCTCCACCACTGTTTTCAGACTACTTTTGGCACCTTAGCCTGGTTGAAAAATTTTGTTGGGGGTGACATTGTGTCACCCCCTCCTGTGCTGGCACCCGTGGCGTTGTTCCTTTCATGGTTGATGCAAAAGTGGAGTATAGCTGACCTGTAAAAAAAATACTTCCACTAAACTTAAAAAATAAAAATTCTAATTCATTTATTAATAACTGCTGAAAATTTCAATGAAATCCAACAATACCCTGGATTTTGGTAAATTGTTAAAACTGGGGTATCATTTTTTCTTTTTTTCACATATCAAAAATACACAATTAATTACATTTAACCATTTAAACTATAAAATGAGGAGACCTTTCCACCAATCTAGTCCCGTGTTTAAATTCATAGCATCAAGGTACCATGGGGGAAAGTTCATCGAAACAATTACCATGAAAATGTTTATACAAAAGGCACAGGGAACCTATGCTCTGCTAGTGGGAAAGTGACTGAAACCAAGATGCTAGGTTAGCACCAATAACATTGCAGATTATTCTTTGTATTTAATCAAGAGTCTCTAAATGCATAGAAGTACCAGACCAGATGTGGAAGCAAAATTCAACATATGGATGAAAAAAATAAAGTTCTTTTAAAGAAAAGGAATCTAAATTCTAAAAACAATATAAAAATTCTGTGGTATAAAATCTTTGTTCAAATATATATGAAAAATTTATAAAATATATATGAAAAATGTTAACAAATAAAAATCTCTTAAAAATCTAATATTTGTCCTAGAGATATATTTTAAAGTCATTTAAATTTAAGGATTAATTAACTTGGTTTTGTAAAAGTAATATTTACTTTTTACTTAAGACATCTTGAAAATAACATTTAACATACAGTAGCTTGTAAATGTCAGTTCAGTAACAAGTTTTCCACTACAATCAGTGAAAAAGTTAAAAGAAAAAAATATTAAAAAAATTCAGTAAACCGTCAATTCAATAATCATGAAACTAGTATTGTTTATACGTAAAAATAAATTATCTTTAATTTTCTTATGACCAATTTATTATAATTTTTTTCATTCTACTAAACACTTTTCATGAAATTTAGTAAGGAATAATTTTACTTTTATAAAATAAGTAAAACAAAGAAATTCAAAACTAGTTAAAATGAACTTAAATATTTGTGAGCATTCCTCATTCATTGCTTTTATTTTCTTTTTTAATTATTATTATCTTTCTTTTTTTTTTTTTTAATTATTTTCTTATTTCTGTTTGATGTCACAAAATAATTAATACATTGCATTTCAACCATCTTCACTTTAAATTATTCTAATTTTAAAATTTATCTAACTAAAAAAGAAAATGCTATAAAAAAAAGTGCGGCAGAACTGATAAAAAAAAACAAAAAAAAACTAATTATCTACAGAGGTGATTCACAAGTTTTTTTTTTCCGATTTGAACATCCATAAAAAAAAAAAATCGAACCATTATAAAAATAGTTTTTTTTAGAAATAGTTCTGATGCGAAAATGGCATCGAACTTTACATTTTCCGATTCTTCAAACACATTTTTATATGCAATAAAAAATAATTTATTTTGCCATTATTAGCAATCAGGAAAATTTCAAAATCACAATAAAAATAAAAATTAGAGAAAATTTTTCAAAAATAAATATTGTCAACTGAAAGAAAACAATGACCAAGCAGAAATTTCCAAAATCTTCAGTATTTGATTATTTTCAGGGATTTTTCTTTATAAGTAACTCAAACTGTATTTCTAAAGACTAAGAAGACATTTCTAACATAATTTTTTTAAATAATTCACTCGTGAATAAATTCTGAAAGTTTCACTAAAATTCGACATTTATTTGATTTCTGCAAATGTTTGGTAAATTTGCTTTTTTTGATATTATTTGATATTTTTTTTTATTTGTTTGATATATGATATTTTTATGATTATATGATATATTATGATTTTATGATATTTTTTGAGCTTATTTGATGATTCCAAAACAGTTGGTTTTATGATCATAATTTAATTATTTCAAGTTCAGCATGTACATTATTACACGATTTCGGAAAATTTTATATATTTAGCCGAGCGCGGGGGTTAAAAAACAAATTTTTACCTAATACTTTTCAACTGGAAAAAAAAAAAGGCGCTAAAAAAAACTAATGGTGTTTTAATTTTAAATATTATGAGACCACAGACGTAAAAAAAAAAAAAAAATTTTAACCAAAATTTCGAACGTGCTTGAAAGGATTATTTGAAAATTTTTAAATACTTTGGTTTTTCCTCTTAATAACAAACATTTTAACGACGAAACTTAGTTTTATTAAGTTTTTAGGGCCTTTTTTCATCACGGTATGTTGGTTTTTCGGTGAATTATAGATTTTGGTTGTCATCAACACTTAATTTTTTAAAAAAAAATAGTATTATTCACGATATCGAAACCGATTTTTCCCCAAAAAAAATATTCCAACAAAATTTTCTAATGAAATAATGTTCAGTATACAATAAATTCACTAATGAATAAGTGCTGAAAATTTAAGTCGGATATCATAATTCCCTGATTTTTGGTATGTTTTTGTAACAGTAAGAATATGGAATAGCTTTTTTTTGGTTTAATTTCGGTGGAAAATGCATTCATCTTGGCGGTACATAAAAAAGGACAAAAAAAAAAAAAAAAAAAAACATAAAAAATTAATTAGGTCTTGCATTTCAATAAAATTTTCATTCCTTCATTTATGAAAAGGAAATTTTATAAGGAAATAATAAACAAAATTCATAACCACACCCGCCAAATGCTTTATTATTGAATTGTTCTTTTACTTTCACTCACAACACAATCAGTATTTTTTATTTTGAAACTCAGTCCTTAATTGACATAAATTTAATTTAAAAAAAAAAAAAAATCAATGATCCAGCTTTTAAAAAATTCTAGTGTCTGTTCTTTAAAAAGTTATTTTCCTGTGTTTTGAAGGGAGGAGCCCATTTTTAACCGATACAAGACATTCATTATTTGATTTTTTTTTCTCTCTCTTCAAGTTTGTATCAAGTACACATACACACCTCATAAGCTCAGTTAGTTAGTTAGTAATTTTGCAGAACCAGTGTCCAAATACCAGATCAAATCTCCTTTGGTTAGTTTCACTCTTCCAGCAGGAATGATGGGACCATCGGATTCCTTAGGTTCCAGCGCTCTCCTAACCATTTCGGCTTTTCCTTCACCAGTAGCTACGAAAACCGCGCACAATGACCAGTTTAACACAGGGAAAGTTAAGGTGACCCTGCTCGGGGGTGGCTTAGGTGAATCTGAAATTGGACTAACCAGAAGAGAAGTCTCGTCTAGAAGATGGTGACCAGGGAATAAAGAGCAAGTGTGCCCATCAGGCCCCATTCCAAGCAGCAACATATCAAATTGAGGCAAACGGTCATCAGTAATGCCAGTCACTGTTTTTAACTGTTCGGCATAGTCCTGAGCACATTTATCAAGTGAAAGCTCTGGCTTGATAGGATAGATATGGTCTGGCGAAAAGCTTGGAACTTTAGACACGAAATTCTCTTTATAAACTTTATAGGTACATTCCGGGTCATCATGTGGAACGTAACGCTCATCACAGAAGAAAATACGCCACTTTGTCCAGTCAGTGTCCAGGTTGACAAATACGTTGCAAGCACATTTGGCAACACTGCCTCCTGACACACCAATTATGAACAGCCGATTCTCTTGGATTGCTAAATCAGATCGGGCTTTTATCAAAGCCGCTAACTTCAACTCTAAATCTGTATTAGCAGTTGTTACGACACGTTGAGTTGGCGCCATGTTTAATGCTAAAGTCAAAGAGAGTAATCTCCCTTGACAAACAGGTTCTCATTTTATTTACCTACACCCGTAATGTTGGTAGATCAACTCAAAACAAAATTAATGACGAGGTCTGCAATGTATATTTGCAGCTGATGGAAGAAATTATCTAGTTCCTTCGGCACTTCCCTTTTTATTAGGGGTGCTTCTGTCATCAGAGACTGACTCTGACCTTTTATGTCTAAGAGTCAAGCTAGAGACGGATCCCTGGAACTTAAGTTTTAATTTCCGTCTCTAGACAAAAAAAAAAGAAGCTTAGCATAGTTTGGCACAAGACCCAACTTGATTCGATTTATTGAGCTACTCACTACATAAGTAATGGTCAATCAGATTATCTCACTAAAACTATTCGCCCAGTCTGAGAAAAACAGAAAAACGCATAAGTAATTTAAAATTAAAAAAATAATACTTTGAGTTTGAATTTAGAATTTAAATGCTTTTTTTTATTTGAAATAATAGCCTAGCCTAGATACACTACTAAAATGGATTTTTTTTTTCCGAAATGAAAGCAAAAAATCGCTGCACGGTATTAAAATATTTGACAAAAATCAGGTAATTATCTAATTCAAACGAAAATTTCAGTATTTATTCAATATACATTAAAAATAATATTTTTTTTTTTTTTTACTGAATAGGTTGTGCAACCCGGATATAAGAGAGATTTTCTCTGGTCCCAAATTAGAGCCTGTGTTAATGTATATAAATTAGAGTTTATACTAAACCCGGATATAAGATACTTCGTCTCCGGTCCCAACAACTCTCTTATATCCGGGTTACACTGTAATAACTTCTATTTGAATGTTTTTCGTTTTATAATTCTCAATATTAATAATATGGCGTATATCTTGGGAGGTGTTTTGAATTATAAGGCGCAAATAAAAATGATACTTACACAGGCTTTAGGTAGCAGTTTATACAAAAGAAAAAATTTCTTGACATAAAACAAACAGTATTTATGTTGTTTGGACTGCTGTCCTCATCTTTGTTACCATATTCACAACGTTTCAGCCATTGTGTGCTCTAGCCTTCTTCAGGTGATTGCAATTTCGAACTGAACCCTTTAATTCGTTCACTGGGGTAGATTGTCCTAGCTCCACGTGCCATGCCTCTTTCAGATATCTCGGTATCAGTTATTCCCCTTTAACCAAACTCTCCAAGTTTTTATTTAATATCAGAATTTAATTTGAGAACCACTACTACATTGTTTTACAAGTTCACATTCTAGCCTCTTTTCTAATCCTTACCCCAACTTTTTCCATGCTTTCAAATCCGGCTCCCAAAGCCTTGATCCTTATCAGAGATAAGAATATATTTTCTGGCGAACAAGAGAGCTGGAAAATATCAAAAGGAATATGACCATCTTTACCCTGACCATGGGGCCTTAAAGTCTGGGGGTAACGCTCACAACTTGTTGGAACTTTGCTTTCAAAAAGCAGCTCCCAAACCTTTGATTCTTATCAGAGATAAGAATATATTTTCTGACGAAGGAGAGAGCAAGAAAAGTGTATAGCAATTTAGGGAGGGAAAAGTTCTAATTTCCATAAATAAAGAGAATATGCACCTCTTTGGCAGTGAGTACTTGACATCATCTGTGATAACATCAGGTCGGTGATAGAACATCAGTCATCTTTGGAATATGTTTCATCTACGTGCTGGGCAGTAAAGAAAATGTCGGCCCACTACTAAAACCTAATTGAGATCTGCCTCCTTGCAACTAGAAATTGCCAGCCTACGAACTCACTCAGCCACAAAATTCAGATCTTCCGACAGTTTCCTCCTCAACAAGAAGAAATCTATTTAAACTCTTAAAAACAAATTACTAGCTTAAAAAACTTTTAGGCGCTTCTGGGCGCCTAAATTTTGAGCAAAGCTTTTTTGGAAAATTTTTTCTTCCTTTAAGTTAAAGGAATTTTCTTTGCCCTTTCTTTCTCTTGTATTATCCTTTTACTTTTTTGTATGTAAATAAACATTTTCTTCTTTTAGTTTGAGTCTTTATTATTCCACCCAAAAAGAGAATTGTCCGCTCTAATCTTTCAAGCTGCAGCTGGTTTTATCAATTCTGTCACATTTTACCTCAAAACTTTCATGTGGGGAAAGCCGGGACAAATTTCCCACATTACCTCTGCTGTAGCCTGATACTGAACTCAGAACTCTTTGGGACAAGTCACTGAAATTCCAATCACCTGAAGAAGGTCAGTATGTACAACAGCTGAAAACTTGTGAATATGACAACAAAGATGAGCTCAGCAGTTCGAACAATGTATGGAGTGTAAGTAATTACAATACCTCATCTCAGAAATATAGACAGATATTTACAAACAGTGCAAAATAATACAATAATTCCAATATAAAAGGAAATGTTGCACAAGAATGTTTTCTCGTGTTCCCAAAGCAAAATGATTTCTTAGGTGTTTAACAAAACAAGTAAAAAAAACCCAAAAAGGCTCGACATTAGGCCAAGTCAACTACTATGAACCACACAACTAACAGACAGACAGCAACTAATATCTGGGAGATATGAACTTGTAGTCTCTGTTTTATCCAATGATTGTACAGGATTCTCTTTCGGACAAGGGTGTTTCTCACTTTTTCTGTGACCAGACAACTTCTTGAATTGACAGGAAGTGTTGGTGCCAAGACTGAAAGCGTGTAGCTCTCTGCATTGGTGTAGGAATGTCAGATGGTTCGCTATTCATGCCAGTTTCTGGTAGGACTTTTCAATTTGTCGCCATATTTTCGGTGTATCAGGTCCGTACCGATCCTTCAGTATCTGTCTATATTTCTGAGATGAGGTATTATGTACACTATTTACACTATTTGAACTACGGTCCTCATCTTTATTGCCATATTCCAGCCACTGTACACTCTGGCCTTCTTCAGGTGGTTGGAATGTCGAACTGAATCCTTTATTTCACTCGCTGGTGTAGACTGTTCTAGTTCCAAATCATAGACAAAGAACATCATTAGAAAATTTGTAAACTTAAGGAATCAGCACATATGCTAGGCCACAAAAATCTCCTGAGCTGACCAAGCATAGAAATGAATACAATATGGGAACCAGTAATAAGGAGTGCCAGAGAAAAGCAATAATAGCAACCGAAATTGCAATATGAGCTCTTGTAAAAAACATGCAATGATATCAGCAAAAATTGAAATATGAGCACTGGTAAAAAAAATGATCAAGGCAGTGGAGAACTTGGAGAGGTGAATTAACAGGAGATAGCTGATAACTAACATCTATTAGATATGGCATGTGGAACTAGAACAGTCTACCCTAGCGAGTGAAATAAAGTGTTCAATTCGGCATTCCAACCACCTGAAGAAGTTGGCTGGAGCATGTGATAAATATGGCAAAGATGAGGACAATAATGTAAATACTATAAATCTGACTTATTTTTAATTTGTAATTATTAAAAAATAGAATTTAAGAATAAAATATTTCCAATAGTTATTTTATGGAAATATTTTATGGAAATCTTCGTGGAAATATTTTTTGAGGCGATGTGTGTAACACCACACTCCAACATGTTTTGGTATCGTATGTGCACTTTTCAACATGGTGGCTTCTTCATTTTTTTTTTGTAGTTATATAATATTTCAGTAAAAAATAATAATGCAATATCAAGTGTGAACATACAGAAAATTTATCTCGTATTTTCCATAAAATCTTCCCTTTTTTTTTGAGAATTGGTGCTTACATAATTTAATAAAACAATAAAAAAAATTTTTTTTTCAGAAAATAAACAACTACTGCGGACTTATATCAACCCACAACAAAGAAACGGGCGAGAAAGTTTTTTAAATATAAAATATTTTTATTTTCGTGTTTTTTTATAACTATTCTTTCTCAGCGTCTATGTGTGTTAAATTTCTTGTGCTAAAGTTCCCTGTCTGGAGTTGTTTGTTAAAATGAAAAGAAATGTGATGTCTGTGTCAGAAAAATAAAGAGGTAAGGGAGAAAGTGAGGTGGAAAGTTTAAGTTTAACGTAGCTTGGTGTGGAAGACGATGAATGAATAAAGAAATTTCTTTTCAGCCAAGTTGTCGTGAACTATTGCCGTCCCTTCTTCTTACTGGTTTGTCAGGTCTACAAACTTTGCTTATATACTCTTCAAAAGGATCACGAAGCATGATTTTATTTTATGTTGGCAGTAACACGACCCGTTGATTGAAAAATGTTAAATATTTATTTACAAAGGATAAATTTATTAACCAGAAGGAT